ATGGAGGAGCAGGGCCATCCCTTCCCCTGGGAAGGGGCTGAAATCCGCTGGGTGCCAGCTGGGATTGATTCCTCAGGGCAGTTATGGCCCTCCAAACATGAGGCTGATCCTGCTGTGATCCCCTTCAGCACGGGGAAATATCCCTATTTTGGCATTCCCAGCACTGGTTGCAGGGCTGGATGCAGTGCCAGGAGGGTTTTGTGGGAGCAGGGGGTTTGGGGGATGTGGGAGCACAGATGGAGAGGAGAGGAGGATGTGGAAGGGGCTGCAGCTGGAGTCCCCTCAGGTTTTGCCCTGTGGGTGCCTGGCAGTGCCCCCCAGGCTCAGACACTGCCTGGCTGTGAGCAGGTTAACACGGTCCCAGCACAGCCTAAACAAATTCTGTGGGTTTTAGTTACCTTTTTTTTTTTCATCTTTGCAGCTTATTTTTCCAGCCATAAAAACTAATAAACCCAAGTACAAAAGCTGCATTTTTTGACTATGAAAGCAGCTGTTCTCACACACTGAGCTGATCCTAAAGACTCCGGCTTTTTAAAATAACAGCAATCCTGAAATCCAGGGAAATGGGAGATAAACTGGGCAGGATGATGGGAATCACCCACCTGGGGCTGGGCCTGGGGCCCTGAGGGAGGTGAAATCATAGAATCACAGGGTGGTTTGGGTCAGAATTACCTAAAGATCATCCAGTTCTAACCCCCTGCCATGGGCAGGGACACTTTCCACTAGACCAGGTTGCTCCAAGTCCTGTCCAGCCTGGGATAGAACACTTCCAGGGAAGTGATGCACTTGGAACACCCCAGACATCCGTGGCTGAACATCACTCTGCCCTGGCTGGGGAAAATTACTCAGTCCAGTCTGCACTAGGAGTAACCTCTGAGTGCCCCAGGAGCAGCCACAGGCTTTGGTTTTCCCCCCTCTGCCAATTTGAGCAAGAATGTGCTCACAGACAACCTGATAAAGATATTTTAGAGGACTTGATAAAGGTACAAACCACACCTACTTAACATCCTCTCTGGTCTTTCTGCTCGACTCAACGATAAGGATCTGGCCCGTTTTTGGCTGATCCCCACCCTGCCAGTCCGGGGGTGTTTCTCCTCTCTGAACCTCTCCCTTCCTGCCAGCATTTTGCTGGGGATGGGATGCCCCAAACTCAGCTCAGCTCCTCACAGGCACCAACACACAGGACCGGAGAAATCAATCCCCTGCACAGCCCCAAACTGCAGCTCTGCAAACTCAAACCCTTCCAGGGGTTATCCCGTGTCCTGTGCTGGTGACAGCTCCATCCGGCAGCAGATCGGAGCCTCGGGCTCTTCCTGGGAATTCACCAAGCTCTGGAAGTCTTTAGACAGAACAATGTTGCCCCAAACCCCCTGAGTTTGGCCTCGAAAACAATGGGACCGATTTATAAATCACCTTTTCGCAGTTGCAGGATTGACTTTGAGCCCTGGGAACACACCTGGGGTGGGGTGGGGAGATAACGCTTTTCCAGGCTCCTCTGTACTTTAACATGGGGGAACTTTTCTAAAATACAAACTACATTTGTCCTGAGATCACCTGACACCAGAAATCAGAGTTTTTAAAGAAAATCAGCAAAATAACACGAGAAAAAAGATAACACAAGAAATAAATGCCCCCCTCCCCGTGCTCCTAAAATGCTCCGGAGGCAGGAATTACCTGCCCTGTGGATTTTCTGTTTGTGAAGGACGGAGCCCAAGCCACACTCCAGTCCTTCCATTACAAACCAGCACCCGGAGCCAAACGCAACGTAGGTAGAGGATACAAACTCGCCACACCCAGTGAAAATAACCCCCCAAACCCTGTCCTGACCCTGTAACATCCTTGAGAAGCCCCCGGCCCCCACCGAGCCGAGCTTTGTCTGTGGGAACGCGCCGCAGTTCAGGCTGCCAGCTCCCCCCCCTCCGAGGGATTTTCCCAAGAAATCGCGGACCCCGGGAAGGCAGAAAGTCCTGGGATTTGTAGAAATAAGAGTCAGCAGCTTCCCGAAGTGCCCCGGCTCTGAGAAGCGGTGCCAGAGCGAACCTACAGAGCGAACCTACCCCAGGCTCCAGCGGCGCAGAGCGCCAGGACCCCGAGCGCCAGCCAGGCTCGTCCCATCTTCTCCTCCGAGCCCCGAGCGCGGGGGGCCGCTTGGACCAGCCCCTCTGAGAGGGCTGGGGAGCAGCTCGGGAGGGTTTTGAGCAGCCCAGGAGGTGAATCATGGGTCGGGCTGGATGACACACATGGCGAGCGGAGGAAACTGCGCCGGGCTCGTCAGCCGGGAGTCAGGAGTGCCCCCGCCCGCCCCGCTCCTCATGCTGCTCTGGCTCTCCCGGCTCGCACAGGGACCTAAGAAACCCTGGCAGCGAGTCCTCGGCACTGGTGACCTGCAGCCGCGGGGCTGGTGACAGGCTCTTTCCCAGAGGCTCTTCCGCCTGGCTTTAATTCCTCGCAAAATCTTACGCGCTCCTTCCTTTCGTTAACTCTTGCCGGGAAAGGCGGCTCGTTTTAAACCCCGGCTGAGCCGCCCCAGTTCAAGGGTTTAAGGAGAAACAGAGCAAATACACGCTGATGTGAAAGCGTGGGTTCTCAGCTCAGAGGTGGGCAAATGGGAATATCCCAGCTGGGAGCCAAAAACTGGACCCGGTGGAACCAGCAGTTTGGGTATAAACCTGGACATGGGTTCAGCTTTGGGGACAGATAATTTGGACCTGATTTTCTTCTTCCTTGTATTGTTTTTTCCCCCTCTGTGTCCTCAGGAACGGCTCCTGTGCTAAGCAAGTACAGGGAATGGGATGTGCCCAGAAATGATGGAGCTGCCTGTGGATGCCTCCCAAAGGGGTTTTATCAACATCTTATTGCTGTACAACACCGAGGGCAGAGACAGGGGAACTCCACAGACAGGCTGGGGGGCGAAAGGGAGAGAAGGGCTGTTTCCCTGGAGCCCTGGGATGCTCCCTCCCAGTGAGTGACAGGGGTTGGGGACAGTAATGAGTCAACCCTGGGTCAAAAAGATCCAACTCACAGAAATGCCAGTAAAAATGAGCTCATATTGGTGCCAAGAGCTGTACCCACAGCCTGGCAGTGCCAGAGGCTGCAGGGGATGTGCCCAGTGCTGTGTGAGAGCACAGCCCCAGGCCAGGAGAGATGGGGATGACAGCACCTGTCCCACATCCCACGGATCTCAAGGAGGTGGCAGTGCCTGTGAGGGTGAGATGGAGATGTGGACTCTACTTCAGGATCTGGAGCTTTTCTTGGCTTTGAAAGAAGATATTTTGATGTCTCTTGGTTTCCCCAGCAGCCCCATGGGCCCTGTGGCTGCTGCTGTCCCCCCATGGTGTCTGGGCTCTGCTCACTGGGATCACTGGGATCACTGGGATCACTGGGATCATTGTCTGCCTGGGATCCAATTCCCTCCCCAGGGCCTGTTAATGAGGATTTGGCAAAGGGGACTAGAAGCCCGTTGACCCTCACATGATGTCAAAAAGGGCTGTACCTTGGCTGAGACATCAATACAACCCCCAGACCTGCTTTTGGGTAGCTCTAGTCTTGCCCTGCTTCAGACCCCAGAACCACCTCACACTGCAGACCCCACTAGCCAGTTTTAGGGCATTCAAATTCCTTATTTTCTGCCTGGACGTGCTGCCTACGTGGCTTTCTGCCCACATGGCTGCCTGTGCCCATGTGCTACCCTGTGTCACCCTGTGACATGTCCAAGTGCTTCATGGGAGGGACAATTAATTTATCTGAAGTGTCCAGAGAGAACTGTGGGACCCTGCTGGGCTCTGCACACCCCCAGACCTGAGCTACCATCCATGGCCCAGGCTCTCCTCACCAGGGACTCATCCTGCCCAGCACCCAACTACCCAAACTGGCAAGTGCTGCTGCTCCCAAGGGTCCTGCAGCTCCCTGAGTCCTGGAACTCCCTGCCCAGCGTGGGCTGTGATGCTCCCAGCATGGTGTAAAAACTCTGAAGAAGAAGGAAAAAGTAATAAAATGAAGTATTTCACCTGCCTGGACCTTCCCAGGCTGGTCATGCCTGAGGACAAGGATGGCATGAACTCATCCAACACGTCTGGGTGGAATTTCCCAGCCAGCTGCAGGAAGGTGCTGCTTGTCCTGGGAACATCACTGGCATGTGGATGTCCCATCCCTGGAAGTGCTCAAGATCACCTTGGACAGGGCTTGAAGCAACCTGGTGTAGTGGTAGGTGTCCCTACCCATGGCTGGGGGGCTTGGGACTAGATGAACCCAAACCATTCCAGGATTCCGTGATGTTACATCCAGGCACTGTGTAACAGGCAGTGGGATGCTCCGGATTTTGGGATCTGTGGTGGGATAAAGGCAGGGGAGCGTTTGGGAGCCCAGGCAGCCCCATTGCCACAGGCTGTGACCCAGGAGCGTGTGTGCAGCCCAAATCCATGCTGGGCTGTGCTGGGAGAGGAGAGGCTGGAGCTGGAGCCACCAGAGGGAGCAGAAACTCCTTCAGTCTGGGAGCGAGCGGGGAGAGGAGCTCCCACCCACCCGGGCTGGGGCACTGCGGGCTCTCTGCTTTCCCCTGGCGATTTTTCCCGGCCCGCAGGTTAAACACGAGCAGCAGCTCGTTGGATCAGGGCTTTCACCTCCTCCCTGCAAGTGCTTCTTCTGCAAAGTGCCCTCACAGCGGGAGCAGCTCGGTGAGAAAACACCAGGTGCTGAACAAGGAGGAAAATGCAACAAGTAAACCCCAAACCAAACAGTTTCGTGCCTTTAAAGTCACAGCAGAGAGCAGGGGCACAGGTGCCTGCCCAAAAGGAAGATCAGCTGGCACTGTCCCTACAAAGCTCCCCCCATCCTTGGTCAGTGCAGGCTCCTGCCTTGGGCTGCAATTCCTCCATCCTCATTTTCGGTTTGTTACGATCCCCTCGGGGACTGGGCAGAGGAAACGAGCCAAGATGGACATGGATAAACCGGGACAAGGTGCTCAGGCTCCGGTTTGGGGGTGATCTGTGCCATCCACACACGATTCCAGGCACACACCAAAGGGCAGAGCTGGGGAGCCGGGACATGGCAGTGCCACGGGCACAGCCCTGGGAGGAGCAGGGTCAGACATGGGTGGGCACCCTGACCTGGGGGGCCAGTCTGGGAGCTTGGGCAGACACAGAGAGGGCAGCGATGATGAAGCTTCCCCTGGGATTGTCCTGGTGGGGCTGAGGGGCCTGTGATGCTCCAGCCCTGGCTGCTGCTGTGGGACAGGGCAGAGATCAGGGGCAGCGCTGCAGAGCTGCCCTTCCAAGGGCCAAAGGAGCAGGAGGGGGGAGAAGAGAGAGACCAGTGTGCTCTGAGGAGGAAACCCCCGGCCGGAGGAACGGGGCTGGATCAGCTCCTCCCGAGGCACAGGACAGGCATCGCCCAGCAGAGCTGGGGGTGGACCGGCTGCCTTGGGCTGCTCGGAGAACGAGTGGGTGGCACAGAGCAGCAAACAGGGATCAGCGACGGCAGCGCTGGCCGGAGGCTCTCAGGAGCCTTCGGGGGAGGGGACAGGGACCGGCCGGGAGGAACAGCGACCGTGCAGGATGCTTTTGGGAGCAGGTGGGGGGGGCTGGAGGCAGGGATGAGTTAGGTGCTGCTCCACAGGGCCTCAGGGGTCAGCCCCCAGCCGGGGGTGGCACCGGGCTGGGTGTGGGCACCCGTGGCAGGGCAGAGAAGGGGTGCCCGGCGTGGGGAAGGGGTGGGCAGCAGGGTGAGCGTGGAGGGGGAGGAAGGCGGTCCTGGGGGGAGGCTGGAAGGGGGTGGAGTTGCTGTTTTTGCCTCGAACACGGTGAGGACTTCAGCGTGGAACTTGCATTTGTGGAGCTCCCAGCCGGCAGGCACCAGCTCTCCCTCCCGCGGGGGAGCCCCGGCAGCGGGTGGCACTGCTTTAGGGGGGCAGCTCGGGGCAGTGGCCGGGGCAGGGGGCATGGGGTGATCTCTGGCTCCGTCCTCTCCCCCGAGCCTCCTTCGCCTCTTCTCTCTCTCTCTCCTTTTGCTGGTTTGGGAGCTCGTGCCAACGCCGTGCCAGGGGGGATCTGGGAGCCAGCCATCCCTTGGCTGCATCCCTGGCTTCCCACCTGCTCCCAGCCTCGGGGAAGTTTCCCTCTCCATCCCAGGCGCTGAGAGAAGAAAGGCAGGAGGTGCCCCGGAGCCCGCCAGGGGTGGGCAGGGGGACAGCCCGGCTTCCCTTCCGCCTTTCCCGAAGATTTTGGGATCGCTCGGCAGACCATGAATGGATCCTTTTTCAACCAGACTCTCCTGGAGCAGGGAGCTGAGCCCAACAGGACCCAGGGCTTGGGGGTGCTCATGGCCTGCTGCAACGGGACCAGCGCCGTGCTGGCCACCGACGGCGGCTCCTCGGCGCTGGCCCCCGACGAGAGGAGCCTCTTCATCACCAGGGTGGTGCAGATCGCCGTGCTCTGCGTCCTCTCCTTGACTGTCATGTTTGGCATCTTCTTTTTGGGCTGCAACTTGCTCATCAAGTCCGAGAGCATGATTAACTTCCTGGTGAAGGACCGAAGACCTTCCAAGGACGTGGGCGCTGCCATCATGGGGCTTTACTGAGGCTCCTGGAGGCAAGTGAACTGTCTGGACCCGGTGCTGAGATGCACATTCCGTGTGTTTGGGGCAGCTGGGGGGGAGTGGGAAGGCAGGGAGGGGTCTTTTAATTTGTCTGTGCTTCCCAGCCAACAAACTGTCACTGAGAAGGGGGAGATGTCCCCGGAGCTGGGTGAAGCACAGCGAGTGCCCAGCATCGTGTTGCATGCACAAATGGCTCAAGTTTTGCATGAAACTTGCAGAAACAGTGATAATGTGCAGATCTGGACTCTTTCCTGCTGTTTCCTTGGATACTGCTACCTGGGCTTGAGGGCTCAATTAAAAAAAAAAAAAAATAAAAAAAAGGGGAAATAACTCGTTGCAAAAAGAAAACAAAAGAACAAACTAAAGGGAAAGCAAAATGCAGGGTGTAGACTTTGTCTTTGGCAGGGGCAGGGGCAGGGGAAGGGGTCGTACAACCAAGTCTGCATGCTCCCAAATGTGTCAGTCCATGTGTCAGTGTTCTGGACCTTGAGCATGCACCTTCTGCTAGTTTTGTAACAGGGAAAGCATGTTCTTCCTTATTTTTCCAAGCTATCCTGTTAAATAAACTGGTACTTTCTTCTTTCACATTCTGCTGAAGGAAGAAAAGGACCCAGATAAGCACCAACCCCACTCCACCCCCAAATCAAAAGCATGCTTGTTTTTGTACACACCAGCCTTTTTTTCCAAGTGCTATATTGTTACAGTCCTTGAGGTTTTTGTAGTTTTTTTGGTGAACATTCAGGAAAAAACCAACCTGTTTCAAAAGAATTTTGTGGTGTCTTTATTCTTTGTGTGTGTGGAGTTCAGGAATTTCAATCCTGCTTCCAGATATAAGCATCTCACCTTCCAAGTGAACTGTAATCAGAGGTATTTCTTTAAAGCAGAAACCACCACCATCATTTTTCCCAGGCAAGTATCAGTTATCACCAGCAAATAAATTCACCAGGAACTACATATTCCGGGCTCATATGAAAAACCTGCAGAGTGCTGAAGCAAAGACTCATAAAGATGCTTCGAGTGCCTCTTGTGAAGCAAGATTTCAGCCTTTGAGTTAAAACCTCCAGCTCCTCTGATCCTGATGAGCTGTCAAAACTGAATTATGTGAGAGGAGGAGGACTCCTGACCTTTGTTCTGTGATGGAATTACCGCTCTGGCTGTGGGTGTGAGATGGAAATAATTTGTGTTTTGTTGCGCCAACAATATTCCTGCTGGGTCCACTTCTGTAGTGGGAAAGCAACCCTGGATGCTGGAGGGGCTGATGACCTGAGCTATTTGGATGGAAATCCAGAAGAAATCCTCCTCTCTGCCTTTCCCAGAGGGAGGAACACGATTAGAGAATGTTTTGTAATTAATCAGTATTTGCTGAGCACCTTCTCAGGGTTCCCAGGGGAGGCAAAGCAGCATCAGGGCACTGCTGGCTCTGGTTGCTCCCACTCACCTGTTGCCTGGATGAGTTGCCTTTAAGAGCACAACAACAACGTGGAGGCAGGACCAGAATTTGGGATTGAAAGCCCTGAAATGTCCTGTTGGTGCCAGTGGAAGGGCTGAGCAGGCAGGGCTGTGATTTTACTGTGACTCTCTGATTTTTGTGGCAGTTGTGGGTCTGCAGACCTGAGCTGCCTTCTCAGCAGGGAGGGTTTCCTGTCCTGCTGCCAGATGGGAGAGTGGCCTCACAGGGCAGCCTGGAAGGGGATTTTGGTCCCTGCTGCTGACAGGGGTGTTATGGCCATTGATCTCCTGGCACAGGTTGCCCAGAGAAGCTGTGGCTGCCCCTGGATCCCTGGAAGTGTCCAAGGCCAGGTTGGACGGGGCTTGGAGCCACCTGGGATGGTGGAAGGTGTCCCTGCTTGTGGCAGGGGGTGGCACTGGATGGGCTTTGAGGTCCCTTCCAACCTAAAGCACTCTGTGATTCTCAGATTCTCTGATCTGCTTGCACAGGAGTGCAAATCACTCCCCCTGTGGGAGCTCAGCCTGCCCAGACCTGAGGGTGAGATGGGAGCAACCCCAAATATACCATGACCCAGCTCTGCAAACCCTTGGGCTGGACCTGTATGTGTCACCCAAAGGTGTAAGTGCATCTCCAGGCTGCTGTGTTGCCACAGGACAGCCCAGGTTTACTCACTGAACTCCCATCCCATTCTGCTCTCAGCTGCCAACTGGTCCCTCTCACTGGCCCTTCCACCAGCTGTGCCCCCAACACAAGGTGGAATTCAGAGGTGATGGAAGAAACCCTGCAGTGTTAGTCAGGAGAGAAAGCTCACAGGAAAAGCTGCTAATCCACAGAAAGTGCCCAAATGCCCATAACTGTGCCCTGGGTGAAGCAGCTGCTCCCACATCTCAGCCGTGCCCACCTCTGCCAGGGCCCTGCCAGCTCGTGTGTGTGCTGGGGGTCCTGCTCCCTGCAGTCCCACGGGGCCACCAACTTGCCAGGTGTCCTCAGAGGCCACATCCAGGAGTGGGGGGTGGGGGGTCTTCAGCCCCTTTGTGCCGTGGAGTCTTGCAGAGGGGAGGAGAAACATCACCCACGGCAAAGTCACGTCCACGGGAGGTGGAGGAGCCACCACAGGGCCCAGGCAGCAGAGCTGGGCACCTGCTGGGGCAGGAGGAGCCAGCTGGGAGAGGGAGGCCCAGCTTTACACTGGCTTGTCCATCCTCTGGTGGTGCTGTGGGTCATTCCTGGCAGGAGGGACGTGTCTGTGTCACCAGGTCGTGTGGACCGAGAGAAGCGGTTGGTGGGCACTGTCCTAATTTCCAGGCCACAGCACATGTCCCCGTGGGGTCACTGGGGTTGCTGGGCTTCTGTCTTGCTTGCAGAGGGTTTAAGACACTTGCACATAAGTCCCCAGCCCACTAGATTCCCAATAAAAGTCTGATTACCCCACTGAGAGGAGGAATCACTGGGGAAATGAAGGTCTCTGGAGGACTGATTCCAGCACTGAGACAGCAAGAGGAGACCAGAAGAGGACAACAGAGGGCTGGCACGGTGAGGGAACCCCTTGGGTCAGAAATGTGGGGTCTAAAGACCCTCTTGAGGTGAAATCTTGATGCTGTTTTGACTGCCCTGATTCCATCCCCACCCTGTTCTCCCGGAGCAGACACCAGTGCAGGTCATGCCTGCTGGGAGGGAAGGTTCTGAGGGCACCACGTTGTCCTCCAGATCTCAGGGGCAGAGCTGCCCTCCCAGCCCCTGCAAACCCAGCTGCCCTGCCCCAGAGGCACCAGTCCTGCAGCCAGGGGATGAGGTGGTTACTCCAGGGCTGCTGTGAGTAACCAGCCCACAATGGCTCTTTCTGCTGCCTTTCCCCACAAAGAGCTGTGGTTTGTCACCTCACACCCACTCATTTAGTGTAAGCTCACAAGTGGGCACCAGCTCTAAAGAAAATTTAAGCAGGTTTTTTTTTTGAACAAGGCAGGTGTGATGTTGTTTTTATGTATTTTTTTTTCTTTTTTAATTGTTACTTGCAGCACAGTAACTTCCAGAATGTCCCCGGGGTGCCAGGAGCTGTACAGGAATGACTGAGGGACACTGCTGGAGTGACAGGGAGGGAAGGGACGTGCTGAGGTGGATCATCACATCACACAGAGCAAGGACCAGCCATTGAGTGTCACCTAAAATCACCTCCTAGCAGTGGAACACCAGAAACCAGTGCAATCCTGTGGGGCTGGTCACACTGGTCTGAGTCACTGGTCTGTCTGGTCTGCATCCCTTCTGTGAAAACAACCATGATTTTAGGCAGTATGTAGTCTTGGAGGTCTTTTCCAACCTTAATGATTCCATGTTTTTGTGATCCCATGACTCTGTGGTCAGTCAAGTTGTCCTGCTGATGGGGAGCTGCTTCTTGTCCCCCCCCAAGTGCAACCTGCCCTGGACCTTCATCATCCTCCTCCAGGCACAGCTCCCTGGCTCTGGGTTGGTCCCCACTTGCTGGGGTTCTGTTCCAGCTGGAATGTCTTTTTTCCAGACAGGCAGCAGGGAAAGAGCAGAGCAAGGCAAGTGAGAGCATTTTCCCCCTGCTGAGCAGCCTGCAAAGAGAAATCCTCTGCCTCTGGAATCACTGAGGGTGGCACAGTTGGAGAAATAAAGAGGTGGATTGACCCACCTGAAAACCCCATCCAGTGCCCCTCAAAAAAACCCTCAAAACCCCCAAACCAAGTCCCAGATGATGCCCACCTCCTTCCCCTGCCCTGGCAGCCTGGGCAGAGGGCAAGGGAAGAGTTAAACAGCAGACAGACAGACAGATGGGGGGGGGGAAAAGGAGGATCCCAACCTGAGCCTGGCACCAGATGTACTGGAGCACCTGCACCAAACACACAGAGTATTTAATAATTCCTGAGAATTGCCATGGTAATGAAGCACAGAGTCAGGTTGTTATGGCAACAGCTTTTCTTTTTTTTTTAGGCAGGGAGGCATTACCCAGGTTGTAACCTCGATCCAGACTGAAAACATTTCTGAGAGCCCAAAAAATAGAAAAAAAAAAAGAAGTAAAATGCAATCAAATTAAATAAGTGGCAGTTTCCTGTTTCTCGTCTGGCAGCTCTGGGCTTGTTCTGTAGGTAGGTGGAGGGAACCAGGTTGTTCCAGACACATTGCCCTGGAAAGGCTGAGGAATAGCTGGAGTGGATCCCTGCAGGTTTAAACTGATTCTAAAGGGGGTGAGGGGCTGAACCCCCCTCCTGGGTGGGTCTGGGATGCTCTGCCACCACCTGGATTCCCTGCCAGAGCTCTGGCCTGGCTTCAGGAGTGTCCCCCGTGGGCTCAGGGGAGGGACACGTGTCTGTGCAGTGTCTGTGTGTCTGTGCAGTGTTTGTGCCATGGGCAGACCCTCAGCCCAGCCCAGCCCAGGATGATCCCAGCTCCCAGCCTGCCCCCAGTTCCCTGCATCCCGAGGGGTGGAGGTGCCCAAAACAGGTCTCCCAGGCTAAGCAGGCATTTGGGGGCTGGCAAGGAGGTGACACACCACTTTTCCTAAATCCCCAGGACAGACCTAAGAAGCAAACCCAGGTTTCCTGGGCTCTGGAAGGTCTCCAGGCTGCTGTGCTCCCCAAAGGGGCACCCCTGAGGC